TCCAGAGTCCAAGTACCATGACAAGTGTTTCAATTGCCCTGCTAAGAATATCTATAACATAAATTATTTGTTTCTTGGGTACCCATAATATCTCGGGTCCTCTCTTGTTAGTTCCCCCAGAGTTCTTAACAACTTTGGGTTTAGCAACAGAATAATCATATTTACATGAATCAAACCTAGATGATTTTTCCAAAGGTTTTGCCTTAGGTTCAGAAGCAGATTCCTCTTTTTCTTTTCCCTTATCTTTAGGCACAAACCCAACAGAGAGAAAATATGAATGAATACTATTAGGTTTATCTTCCTTATCATAATTAAATTCGTCATATGAGTTATAACCAATATAATTAGTCCCATTTCTGCTCAAACATTGATCATAGAAGCCATCATGCTTCTCCCTATGCTTCTGGATAGGAACTTCTAGAAAGCTTTGTCATATTTCTTAATGACATTATCATTACTCTCAGAAGCTTCTGGAAGAGTTCTCGTGCCTTTGAGGGCAGAGTCTCATCTTTAAGAAAAAAGTTTTCTTCATTTAAAATGGAGAGATTTTCCTTAAGCTTGTTGTTTTCAGAAGATGTGGATTCATAGGACTTTTTAAGTTCCTTGAATTCAATCTTGAGTAAATCATATTTTTCCAAAATTTTAAGTAAACTAGAAGTTAATTCAAAATGAGTAAGATCGAAAAATACCTCTTTGGGGAATACCTCTTCTGTGTCTGAAACAGACTCTGCTTCATCTTCTGGAGGCATCTTTTCAATAGACGTTCTAACTTGAGCCATCAGCGCCACGTAGCCCGTTATTCTTCTAAGTCGTCTTTTGAAGAATCAAAATCATCCCAAGTTTCCATTAGCTCTTTCCTCTTGCTCTTAAGATCTTTCTTATTGGGCTTGTCCTTCTGAATTTCAGAATAATCATTCTTGTAAGGTCTTGGCTTGTTGCACTCATAACTAGGGGTGTTCAAAACCAAACCGGACCAATAGAAAACCGTAAAACCAAACCAAACCAAACCGAAACCGTAAAAAACCACATTTGATTTAGATGTGTTTGGATCATTTTCTAACGGAACCGCGCGGTTCAGTTTGGTTTGCGGTTTGTATTTTGCAAATCGAACCAAACCAAACCAAACCACATTATGTTATTAATTCTTACTAACCAATATATATTTCTTTAATTCTTTAGAGAAATCAACATGTATTATGTGTATATTTTATCATATTCTTTGCATGATATTAATTTTAATTTATAAATCATAAGAAATGAAATATTATTCATTTATAAATATTATTTTTATAAAATATATTTTATCGTATTTTTTGTATAATATTTATTTAAGAATGCAATCTTATGTATATCATTCTTAAGATTTAGATAAAATCATAATACAAAATTTTATGTATCAAATTATAAACTTATTTTAACAATTATAATTTTTTTTATGGTTATGTATGAACGATTAAACACAAAATTATATTTTTCTCTATATGTGTATGTATGGCTCAATAATTTTTTATAAAAAACCAAACCAACCGAACCAATCCAAACGACATTAGTTTGGTTTGGTTTGGTTCAGTTTTATTTTTAAAAGTCAACCGAACCAAACTGAACCGCACATTTTTTCTCTTGCGATTCGGGTGATTTTTTGCATCAAAACCGCCCAAACTGCACCGCGAACACCCCTACTCATAACAAGTGACTTCTTTGCCACTAGACTTCCTTTGACCAGAAGTAGACTCGAAGCGACCATTAATGCTTTTAGTACTTATGAAATTGTTGCCTTGATTTCTCTTCCAGAGACGGTTAACCCTTCTAGATAATAGAGACAACTCGTCTTCATCTTTATTAGAATCTTCTTCTGAATCCTCAGTCTCTTCAGCTCAAAAAGTTTTGGACTTCTCAGATCTTCTGACAGACTTGAGCACACTAGATTTCACTCTCTTCTAAGGTTCATCCTAATCTATCTTAATCTCATGACTTCTTAGAGAATTCACCAGTTCTTCTAAAGAAGTGTTGTTCAGATTCTTAGCAATCTTGAGTGAAGTTACCATAGGCCTCCATTTGAATGGCAAGCTTCTGATAATCTTCTTCACATGACTAGATGTACAATAACCTTTGTTTAAACTCAGTCCTGCAACTAAGGTTTAAAACCTTAAGAACACCATCTCAACTTTTTCATCATCATCCATCTTGAAGGCTTCATACTTCTGAATCAAGGCCAAAGCCTTGGTCTCTTTGACTTGATCATTTCCTTCATGAGTCATTCTAAGAGAGTCAAATATAGAATTGATTGAGTCTCTATTTGTCATATTCTCATACTCAGTGTAAGAAATAACATTCAATAAAATATTTCTTACTTTATGATGATTCTTACAATCCTTATTTTGTTGATCAATCATAACTTTCCTTTCAAGCTACTTTCTATTTGCATCTGTGGGATATTCATAGCCATCAACTAACATATCCCAAAGATAAACATCATGACCTAGAAAGAAACTTTCTAGTCTTTCTTTCTTGTATTCAAACTTTTCACCATAAAAAATGAGAGGTTTAACATTGTAGTTATATTTATCAGAAACTGGAGTTGGTGGTGGTGGAGTAGGATCAACCATAATGTTTCTAAAACTCGTATGGATCTTTATCTGACACGATTAAGTGTTTGATAGAAATAAATACAAGAATCGGAGCTCTGATGTCAATTGAAGGTGCGAGAAACACAAGAAATGGGGGTTTGAATTGGATTCCACCAAATATAATCTTTTTGCAACTCAAATACAAAATTTAACAAGTGAATAAAAATAAATGAACACAATTATTTTTATTTTGGTTCACTGTTAACAAAGTTACTCCAATTCACCCTGCAAGGTGATTTGCCTTATACACAAGGACTTAATCCATTATAATCAACCAAATTACAGACAACCACAATAAGTCTGATGAACCTTTGTGGCACCCCCAATAAGTCTGTCAATCTTTATTGCAAATCCACTATGACTGTAGCCAAAGTCTTCTTGAGAATCCAAACTACACAAAGTCTCTCAAGGAACCTATCAACAATAGTTGATTACAAAGATGTGTATACAAAGATGCTTCTAAGTACACAAATCTTAAGTACGGTAACACAAAAGTGTTGATAGCAAGATACGAACAAAAGCTTGTTGCTTATTTACAAAACTATACAAAGAATTACTCTACAGAGTTTGTGCAACGGTTTAGTGTAGTTTTATAGAACTGATTCGTTGATTTTAAATTCTTCCAAGTACTCCTTTAATAGTTAAAAGAAGAGATCTGTTGGAGGGTAGAATAGGAAACACGAATACACTTATTTTGCTCCCAACGGTCATGGTGAGACTGATAGATAATAGTACAAAAAGGTTTGTCCTTGCACCATTCTAGAGAGTAGAGGTCACAATGTACTTTTATACTCACCATCACACGAAATCCCTTAGTCTTGATCTTCGTCTCCTATATCTTTAGAGGCTTCTTATTTGTATATTGATAAAGTATATTATAGAAGGATCGGAACTATGTATCTTCAGAACCTAAGTCTTTAGAGCCTTTCAGGGCTTGTTTAGAGAATCCTTGCCTTCAGAGTCTTCAGCACTTGATCTTCAGAATGTCTTCAGATCTTTAGAACTCGTTTAACAGAACCTTGTCTTCAGCATCTTCAGAACTTGAAACATCAGAAGTAAAGATTTAGAAGGCCTTAAAAGCTTCCTTGCATTAGTCACGATCATAAACTCTTTTACTAACGTTCCTTAGAACCATTGCATAATAAACATTTCAAAACCTTGACTTAACTTGTAACACACCATAAGTATTATTTCAGAGTGTTGAGTTCAGAACCTGATGACATCACACACATTTTTACCAGAGTCAGAACCTGTTTAGCAAAAGCTACACACTAGACAGAAACCATTAGAGTACACAATTGTTCTCTAAGATAACATGTAAAGTTATCATCAAAACTAAAGGTCAGATGCAGAATCAATCTTGTTCTCACAATCTGAAGCCTTATGAAAGAGAGTGTGATAGTATTCTTCAATCGTGCAAGAGGGGTTATATCCAATTAGTGTATGATTGATCATATTTTCGCTTATGATATTCTTGTTATCGATTACTAACTATTTTTGTGTGTAGCTAATTAAGCCTAGATCGCCTAAATTAATATAATCGTTCCGACTCTCTTTTATTTTATTTTTTTGTAATACATGGTTGTAATTATTTGAGTGCATAGATGTGTTGTCTGTTTGAAATATATATGTGTGTGATATGTTTGTGCATCTAATACATTAATCATTCAATCATTCCTTGCATCAATTTAATTTTATATATAACGAAGTAATTCAATAATATCTGACATTGGTATGATATTTTTATTCAATTTTTTATAAATATTAGCAAGATTACATTAATACATTAAAAGAAAATAAAAAATATTATTGACAATGAATAAACTCTCAATCAATAGCTTACATTCATTTAATTTAATTACCGATCATCCTAATATTTTTTCATTTAATTTTACTATTATTTTAATTTTTTTGCCCTTTTGAAATTAATATTTAATAAAATACTTTTTCTTTTAATTAATTACTTAAAGATTTAAAAGTTATAGAGTTTAATAAATATATATTGACCGTATAAAATAATTTTACATTATCATTTAATAGTAAATCAACCATCTATCATATCATTAAATTTTTTTAAAAATAAAAGAGTAATATATTCTAATACATGATCATAATTAATTAACAATATAAAATTAATTTGATATTGCACCACCCATTTTCTCACCATTATAAATCAATTGATAAATGCTGATATTATTAATTAGTTCTTAATTTATTAATTATTAGTAACTTATAAACTTTCTCTCTTTCTTCTCACTCCCCCACTCCCCCACTCCACAGTTTCAACCATCGCGGGCTCAGAGCCCCATATAAACCGCATTTTCGATTTTCTCATCGTTCTTTTTCGAGAAACCTTTCGTTACGACACACACAATGGTAAGGTTTTTTCTCTTCTTGTTCATAGACAAATTTCTTATCAATGTCATGTTTTTTTTTTTTCTTTCTAAGTGAGTTTATAGATTCTTGTTTTTCTTTTACTATCTTTATTTGAAATAGGTTAAAAATGACAATATCATGAATTTTTTCTCAGAGTGCCACATTTCTGAAACAATAATCCTGCAATGCCACATATTGAAACATATTTCGTAGAGTGCCACACCTAGGTTCACGCTATTTCAAATGGGGCGAACGTGGGACCCAGTTGACACAAGATAGTCCTTTCATGCCATTTCAAATGGCGAGAGTCATTCTTGTGTCAGCTGGGTCCCACGTTCGCCCCATTTGAAATGGCGTGAACCCTGTGGCACCCTGGAAAATACGTTTCAGTGTGTGGCATTGCAGGATTATTATTTCAAAAATGTGGCACTCTGGGAAAAAATTCCAATACCATAACTATCATAACATGAAGATGCTTGTTTTAAATGTTGAAATGTTAGAATTTTAGGTTTGGACTTGTTGGTGATCGTAGTGATAAAGTGATAGTATTCCATCATTTTTAGTTGAATATGAATGTGAGTGTTTTTCAAAACTTGGACAAGTTTGGAAGTTATGTTTGATGTGGTTTTAGTGATCTGGTTTCTTTCTGAACTGTAGTTGTTTTTTAATGTTCTACAAATGTATCAATCTTATGTTGTCATTAGCATGCGCCATCAAGGTTTTAAATAATAGTCGTGCTCCCGTAAAAGCTTTTGCGATTTTGGTCGCTACAGGTGTTGCGATCGTCGCGGTGTGAATTAACCACAATTTGTTTTTTTGTCGCAAAAACGGTGATAATGGTATTGGTATCGGCACTTTTCGATACTGTTTTGTTGTGGCTGTTTTTTTAATGCTAGCGGAATAGTAGAACTGACATGCTTTTGACCTTCAAGACGCTGTCGAGAATAGCGGTTTCTGCAGCCTCTAATTGCGTTTGAAACAGCTATTGCAACTTCTATTAGGGTTTCGGGGCGAAAATTTTCAAATCATTTTTTCTAACTGTTGTGTTTTTTAAGGGTTGTTAAGAAATGTGGATGAGCCTAACTCATCCCTACAAAACCAAACTGGCTTGTAAGGTGAGAGATGGCATTCTATATAGACCAAAATCAAACCGGCTTGTAAGGTGAGGGATGACATTCTATATAAACCCTTTGTGGGCTCTATCTTAAACCAATGTGGGATTTGGTTTTTTCCCAATACACCCCCTCACGCCTGACACTATTAGGTTTGGTACATGGCCTGGACTTTTGATACTTGGTTTTTCCAATACACCTCCTTGTGCCCAATACTATTGGACTTTGTTAAGAGTCCCACATCGGACAATATATGGCCTGAACATGTGTTTATAAGTGGGGGCAATCCTCACCCTACAAGTCGGTTTTGTAGGGTTGAATTAGGCCCAACCACATCTTAATATGGTATCAGAGCCTCGTTTAAGATCCAGTGGGCCATCCACCATTTATTTCCACGCTCCAGTTGTCTAGTCCTGGGCGTGAGGGGTCGGACAATATATGGCCTGAACATGTGTTTATAAGTGGGGGCAATCCTCACCCTACAAGCCGGTTTTGTAGGGTTGAATTAGGCCCAACCACATCTTAATAGACTTGATGCGCATATAAATGGTGGGTGACCCTACTCGATAGGCTCGTGATACCATGATAGAATGGAATGGTCATCGTGTATTTGTGGTTCTTGCAATGTCAATGTCAATTTGAATCCTTTTAAGTGTAATGGTCTATTCTTCATTCTGTCCTTTTTTGTGGTAAGGAGAGTAGAATTGATGGAGAGGAGTCAAAGAGCTAGAGGTAGAGAAAGACTTAGAAAAACTATAAGCCAAGTTATTAAGAAAGATCTAGAGATTGACTGTTTGGAGAGTAACATGGTCTTGGATAGAATATTATGGTGAAAGTTGATTCATGTAGCCGATTCTACTTAATGGGATAAAACTTGGTTGTTGTTGTTATATAAACTGGTTTGTTCTTCTTCTTCTTCTTCTTCTTATGTTTAGCTTTGTTCTGTTAGGTTCTTATTTGTTTTAGTTTTATTGCCGTGCACATTAGCTTTTTTAATAATGAAGTATGATGTTCTCTTTAATTTTGTGTAGTTTTCTATTTTTGAATATTCAAGTTTATTTTCTACCGTGATTTTCAGTATTTGCAATAACGGCTATCTGATAAACCGCAATAGCATTTTAGAGGGTCGTTGGTACGCGATGCTGTATGGGATTAACAACATAGTATCAATCAATTGTTTTAAAAGCTTAAATAAGGTGAAAGGCAAGACTGATTTTATGTCTTACACACTTCTTCATATTTGAATGTTTATTTACAGAGTGAAGAGTTTCAAAACAATTATAGAGATAGTGGGTATGAAAAGTCATTCAATGATCTTATGCACTATGATAGGGATCACCATTATGCTGCTAATAGGTGCTTATCAAATCAAACGCCAACACATTATGCCGATGATGATAGGCATTTACGACATCGAACGCTGACACACTATTCCAGTAAGAGGCACTTAACTAGTCAAAGGCCGAAACACTATGCTGAGAAGAGGCACGTACGGCATAAAACGCCGGAAGACTATGCTGATAAAAAGTGTTTGCCACATCAAACACCAGAGGATTTTGCTGATAGAAGCCACTCGCCATATCAAATGCCAGAAGACTATGCTGCTAACATGGGCTTGCCTTATAAAACACCAGATCGATATGCTGATAAGAGGCACTTACTACATCGAACGCTGTCACGTGCTGATAAGAGACACTTGCCACATCAAACCCAAGGAGACTTTGTTGATAAAAAATGCTTGCAACATCAAGTGATAGAAGACTTTGCTGATAAAAGGCACTTACCACATCAAAAGCCCGAATACTATGCTGCTAACAAGTGCTTATCGCATAAGACGCCAGATCACTATGCTGATAAGAGGAACTTACCACAACCAATGTGGGAACCATGTGCTGATAAGAGGTATCCGCCACGTCAAACATCGAAACACTATGCTGATAAGAGGCACTTACCTCATCAAACGCTGGAAGACTATGCCGATAAAAAGTGCTTACCACAACGAACGCCGGAACACTATGCTGATAAGAGGCACTTACCACATCAAGAGCCCAAAGATTGTGCTGATAAGAAGGGCTTGCGACATCCAATGCCAAAACACTATGCTGATAAGAGGAACTTACCACAACAAACACCCGAAGTCTATGCTTATAAGAAGTACTTACCACATCAAATGCAGGAGCCAAATATTCGTACTCCAGCCTCAGTACGAAGTTTACAATCAGGTGCTGTATATTGTAAAATTTGTGATGTTAAGTTTGGCCGCACGAATTTCCAAGTACATAATAATGGAAGGAGACATCAAATGTTATTAGCACTACGTGAACTATCAATGAAGCAGAAAACTTCAAATGGACAAGGGGGTAGACAAACTCCAAATTCTTCTCAAGTGAATCCAATAGTTCAACCTAAGGAAGTTTCAAAATTTAAGAAAATTAGACACTCGGTAAAAAGTGTGAGTTGTGAAGCTCCTAGTATTAGGCACAAAGAAGTTCCAGCTGAAGGTTCTAAAAGGAAATTCGTGGATGATTCTGGTGCAAAGGATTGCGGTTTGAAGGGAGAGAATGTGAGTCATGAAGCTCGTAGTTTCAAGCAGAAGAAAGTTCCAGCTGAAAGTTCTAAAAGGATACTCAAGGATAACACTGATACAAAAGATCATGGTTTCAAGCACGAGATAGGAGGAGCAACAGGAGGTAAGTACATGAAGATGAATAATGGGATAAGAAGGCCCATGAAATCATCAAAACCTGAGGTCAATGCTCTGTCAAATTCTGTCAAATCTCAAGTATCTGAAATAACACCCCCATCAGGGCGTTTGGCTTCACCTAAAATTGCACCGGTCCTTGTAAAAGGATCTAGTTTTAAGGTACAGCCTCAACATGTCTCAGGTTCACTAACTCAAAAATCCAAAGGCAAAGAACATCACAAGGTTCAAATTACTACCATGGAAAAGAATGACCAGTCACATTCAACCCCGGTAGAATTGAATGCCTCAGCAGTGGGATCAAGTTTTGAACCTCCAATTCAAATTGATTCCCAGTTGGAAATCAAAGGCAATGAACATCACGAGGTTCAAATGTCAGAAAGCAAAGTTCAGAATGAGATTCAAAATCATATTGTTCATCCAAATGATCAGCAACCTTCAATCTCAATAGAGTTGCAAGATCCTGGTTCTATGACTAACAACCATACAGAAGTTGTGAATTCTGATTCTGCAGCAAATGAAATAGTCTTAGAACCTCTTGCATCTGCACCACCAGATGCATCCATGTCAAACTTTGAACCCCAAACTGAACATGATCTACATACTGAAATAGAACCTCAAGTATTGGATGCTGTAGCATATCATCAGAGCCAACATCCTTCAGAGATCAGTGGTGAAACTGAAACTGCAGATGAAAATTCTCAAGCGGAAGTGGAAATGGAAATAATTCAGTTGCCTCAGGTGTTTTTTATTTTCTTAAAATATCTTTTTTTTTTGGAGTTATACATCTTTTATGAACCATTGCTTTATAACTTTGCCTACTTGTTGCAGGTATCTGTTTGTCTTAAGTGTGGCAATAAAGGCTTTGAAGAGACGTTGGTATATTGCAACAGATGTGAATATTATGCACTGCATAGGTACTTATTAGTTACTCACAATTATGTTATACAATTATGTTATAGCGGCAGACAATATAGCGTGTGAGTACCGCTATAATAGTGTTGACATATTGTTAGGCAGTTAGTTTACATTTTCTGTTATACTATTCTGTTAGAATATTTGCTGAGCTGTCACTTTCTGTTAGGGCAGCTTTAGTTGGTTATGATCCAAGCCTCTCTATATAAAGAGTGCTTTCTGTATCTTCAAGATTAACAAACAGAATAACAGAATCTCATCTTCTCCAATTGCTTTCTTCTTTTCTCTTCTTACCTAATTCTATCATGGTATCTAGAGCTTAAATTTTTTCCGATCCATGGAGTCCTTGTTTCCGTCTTCGCAAGTGAAGCTTTCTCACTTGATCTCTGTAAAGCTTGATGATAGGAACTTCAAGCAATGGAAGCAACAGATTGACGGAGTCGTACGCGGTCATCGCCTTCAACGGTTTGTTACTCTTCCGATGATTCCTCAGAGATCACCGTCCGATTCCGATACTACACCACGTGGTGAGAATTCTGCGTACCTGGAGTGGGAACAACAAGACGCACTTGTCTGCACTTGGCTCCTCTCTACTGTATCAGATTCACTTCTCCCAAAGCTTGTTGAGTGCAGACATTCGTGGCAGGTATGGACTGAAATCCATCGCTACTTCAATACGCTCCTCACAACCAAAGCGCGTCAACTGCGATCGGAGCTCCGGCATCTTACGAAAGGTACTCGCACTGTTATGGAACTCATCGCGCGTACACGCGAAATCAGCGACTCTCTGCTTTCGATTGGGGATCCAGTTCCGTTACGTAACCTAATCGAGATCGTTCTTGATTCTTTGCCTGAAGAGTACGATCCAATTGTTACTGCTGTCAACAGCAAAGATGAATTAAGTTCCTTGGATGAATTGGAGTCGTCACTGTTAGCGCATGAATCGCGCCTTGAGAAGCATCGTAAGGCTGTGGTTACTGAACCGGCAACGGTGAATCTGACTCAGGCGCCGCCGTCGTCCTTGCTGGTTACCTCTGATCAACCAGCGCCGACAGACACTTTCCCTCAAGGTACGAGTCACGTGATTGCCAACGCTGATAATCACGCTTATGGATCTCGTGGAGGTCGTTCCGGTCGTGGTGGTGGTCGCTATGGACGTGGTGGAGGCCGTTTTGGCAAAATGCAATGTCAGATTTGTCATAAAGCTGGACATGACGCGTCTGTCTTGCTACTATCGTTACTCTAGTTCCAGTAGTGCTGCATATCCACCTCCAAGAGCTTCGTATAATCCCTTCCTTATGCAATCACGCCCTATGTTTCCAGCTCAGTTTGGTTATTCTGTTTCCAGAGGTAGTGCACCTCCTAGATCTTCTGCACCACAGGCGTTTTATGCAGGTTCTGAAGCTGGTTTTAATAACCAATGGTGATATCCTGATTCAGGAGCTTCTCATCATGTTACTCCTGATGCCTCTAATTTGTCTGACTCTGTTTCTTTGCCAGGAACTGAGCAAGTTTTCATGGGAAATGGCCAAGGTTTGTCGATAAATTTTGTTGGTTCCATGTCCTTTCACTTGCCACATACTTCTAACCTATCTCTTACCCTTAGCAATCTGCTCCTTGTCCCTAATATAACCAAAAACTTAATGAGTGTGAGCAAATTTGCTCAAGATAATCATGTCTTTTTTGAATTTCATCCTAATTTCTGTGTTGTTAAATCTCAGACTACTTCTGAAGTGTTACTTCGTGGGTCTGTTGGAGATGATGGACTTTACAAGTTCTCTAATCCTACCACTCAGCTATCCAAGTCTAGTTTTCCAAATTCTTGTTCTGCCCAATCTCCAAACTGCAGGGCTAGCTGTAATTTGTCTTTTTCATCTGTAGCACACAATACTCCTGTTATCAGTTGTTTACCAAATTGTATAAATCATTGTAATACTCTTTGTAATCCTGATCAGTTTCATGTTAATACGAGCAGTTTTACTCATACTCCTTCTCTTAATTCCACTACTTACAATACTCATGTATCCTCTTCACATTCTAATAGTTCATCCTCCATAGCCACAAGTAAATATATTCTTTGGCATACTAGATTGGGACACCCTAATCATCATTCTCTAGTTGAAGTTTTCAAACTATGCAACTTCCCCAATTTTCCCAAACCACCTACAGAATTGTGTCAAGCTTGCTGCCTTGGCAAGTCTCACAGATTACCCTCTACCCTATCTACCACTGTTTACACTCATCCTTTTGAATTAGTTGTTTGTGATCTTTGGGGTCCTCCACCTATAACATCTACAGGTGGTTACACATACTTCCTCACTTGTGTAGATGCCTTTTCTAGGTTTGTTTGGGTCTTTCCTCTCAAACTCAAATCTGATACCTTTATCCAGTTTACTCAGTTTAAGAAAATGGTTGAACTTCAATTCAATTGTCCTATCAGATGTGTTCAGAGTGATGGTGGAGGAGAGTTTAGGCCTCTCACCAAATATCTAAATGATTTGGGTATTGTTCATAGGCTCACCTGTCCTCATACTCATCATCAAAATGGCCTTGTTGAACGTAAGCATGGGCATATAGTTGAAACAGGGCTCACACTTCTAGCCCAATCCACTCTTCCTCTAAAATTTTGGGACCATGCCTTTGTCACAGCTGCCTATCTTATTAACAGAATACCTAGTCCCACAATTGACAATTTGTCTCCTTATTTCAAACTTCTTAATAAGCCCCCAGATTATTCAAACCTTAAGGTCTTTGGCTGTTCTTGCTATCCCTTCCTTCGTCCCTATAATGTTCATAAGTTAGCCTATAGGTCCCAAGAGTGCTTATTTCTTGGCTATTCTACATCTCACAAAGGTTACAAGTGCCTAGCTTCTGATGGCCACATCTATATTTCCAAAGATGTGGTGTTTCACGAGTCTAAATTCCCATACCAGTCCTTGTTTCCCACTGCATCTCAATCTTCCATTTCCAACACAAATCTCAATTCTACTAATGCTTCCTCCTGGTCATTACCTTCTATAATTCCATCCCCTGAATCCAGGCAGCCTACACCCTCTCCTTCCCTTAATCCTCCTTCTCCTACTCAGGCTGAACATCATCAATCTGTCTCTCCTTCGGTCTCTCAGTCTGAGTCTATCTCAGTTTCTCACTCCAGTTCTACTGCATCCCATATTCCTTCTTGTTCAGCTTCAGCTTCTCATACTCATGACCAACCAGTCCTAGCTAATGCTGACCACACCCCTCCCTGTTCTCCTGCCCTCATTCTTTCAGACCCTGCTGAAGCATCTACCATTTCTCCTTCTTCCTCTAAAACTGGCTCCTCTAACCCTTCTCCCTCTAACCAACCTTTTATCAATCCTCTCAATGTGCATCCTATGCAAACCAGAGCCAAAAGTGGCATTACCTTACCTAGACTCAATCCCACAATGCTTTTAACCCACATGGAACCAACATCAATTGATCAAGCCTTGGCTACTCCTCATTGGTTCCAAGCAATGAAAGAAGAATTTTAGGCATTGATGAGAAATCAGACCTGGACTTTGGTGAAAACACCTGATTCTAGAAAGCCAATTGGCTGCAAGTGGGTCTTCAGGACCAAAGAAAACCCTGATGGATCTGTCAACAGATACAAGGCCAGATTAGTTGCAAAAGGGTTTCATCAGAGGGATGACAGTGATTTTCATGAGACTTTTTCACCAGTCATCAAGCCTGTCACAGTCAGAACAGTCCTTACTATTGCTGTCACAAACAAATGGATCATCCAGCAAATTGATGTCAATAATGCCTTTCTAAATGGCACTCTTGAGGAGGAAGTTTTCATGCAACAACCCACTGGGTTTGCAGCCTCTGACAGGTCCCTAGTATGTAGGTTGAACAAAGCTATCTATGGGTTAAAACAGGCCCCTAGGGCCTGGTTTGACAAACTCAAGAGTGCCCTGTTTCAGCATGGTTTTCAAGCTAGTAGGTGTGATCCCAGCCTGTTTCTGCTCCATCAAGGCAAACTTCAGATCATGGTTCTTGTATATGTTGATGATATCATCATTACAGGAAATTCAGCTTCCTTTATCACATCCTTGATCAAGCTTCTTAATGATAAATTCTCATTGAAACAGTTGGGACAGCTTGACTACTTCCTAGGCATTCAGGTTTCTCACCTCCCTAATGGTTCCATTCTTCTCTCTCAAACAAAGTATCTTACTGATTTACTTTCAAAAGTAAATATGCTCAATGCTAATGCCATGCCCACTCCCATGGCTTCTACCAGTAAATTATCAAAGGTGGGTTCTATTCCTGTTGAGGATCCTACTCAGTTCAGATCTGTTGTGGGTGCCTTGCAGTATGCCACATTAACTAGGCCTGAAATTTCTTATTCTGTCAACAAAGTTTGTCAGTTCCTGTCCAATCCCCTGGAGGAACATTGGAAGGCAGTCAAAAGGATCCTAAGGTATTTGAGTGACACCATACAGCATGGGTTACTCTTGCAACCTGCCCCTGTTCATCAACCTATGCAGTTACTAGGGTTTTGTGATCTGACTGGGCATCTGACCCTGATGACAGAAGATCCACTTCAGGCGCCTGTATTTTTCTTGGCCCAAATGTCATCTCCTGGTGGTCCAAGAAGCAGCAGCTGGTGGCCAGATCCAGTGCTGAGGCTGAGTATCGTAGTATGGCTTTGTTGGCTGCTGAGTTGTTGTGGGTTCAGTCTCTGCTCAAAGAAATTAACTGTCCCTTTTAAGTGCCAAAAATCTTATGCGATAACTTAAGTACAATCACACTTGCCCATAATCCTATCCTCCATAATAGGACTAAACACATGGAGCTGGACATCTTTTTTGTGAGGGAAAAAGTTCTGAGCAAAAGTCTCTCAGTGGTTCATGTCCCAGCTCAAGACCAGTGGGCTTTCTGACCAAACCTTTGTCTGCTGCCAAGTTTGTTCCTCTGCGTGTAAAGTTGAAGGTGTTTAACAAGAATGACTTATCCAGACCACCCTCAACTTCTAAAGGGGACTAATAGTGTTGACATATTGTTAGGCAGTTAGTTTACATTTTCTGTTATACTATTCTGTTAGAATATTTGCTGAGCTGTCACTTACTGTTAGGGCAGCTTTAGTTTGTTATGATCCAAGCCTCTCTATATAAAGAGTGCTTTCTGTATCTTCAAGATTAACAAACAGAATAACAGAATCTCATCTTCTCCAATTGCTTTCTTCTTTTCTCTTCTTACCTAATTCTATCACGCTATTCTCTTCTTTTGTTTAGGTGAACAACTAAATTGTATTAATAACACAGTGAATTTCCATTTCTGCCTCAGAAGCAATGTTTTTTGCCATCATATTTTTTCTTAACATAGCTTTTGCATTTTCTGAAATTGTTGTTTCACAATCTTAGACACCTTTGGCCTTATGTACCTTAACTTTCTCTTTTTCAGGTATTGTTTAGATGGTCCTGTGGTTTTTACAGATGAGGTTATTTGGTTTTGTGAGGATTGTGAAGCAGAGGTAGTAGACGAAGATTATCCTGATAGTGAGATCTTGGATTCAGAAAATGGTGAAGTTGATTCCATCGAGGATTGTGATCTAGGCACTACAAATTCCGAGAAAGGTGGTGAAGTTGATTCCAACGAGGGCTATGATCAAGACACTACAAATTGTGAAGTTGATTCCCGATATGGATGTTCTATTTCAGTTGATCCACTGCCTATTACTGATCCAGTATGGAGGTAAGAAATTTGTTTTTTCTAGTGACTTCTGTTACCGAGTTATGGAATTAACTAATTGTTTTTGTAGTTGTTACGGCGAAAACATTGTCTGAAGTTGAATTCATTTTTTGTGAAATAGGGGAAGTTTGCAGCTTATCAACAGAAGCTTTGAATTAATGAGCCATTTGTCTACTTTAGCATGTCCTAAAGTTCTTGAAGAGACGGGACATCTCCCTAATGTGTTTCATGCAGATTTGCTTCAAAGATCAGCTGTGTGGCCACAGAGTTTCAGGAAATATGGAACAAATAATCAGAGCATTGGTCTTTATTTCTTTCCTGAGAATGAAAGGTGATGTTTTTTTACAAACTTAGAAACATGTTTTAAATTGCAGTCCGCAACCGCAATTGCGGCTGCAATATTGCTGATGTGGTCGCCTCCGCAACGGCATCAGGCCGCAATTGCGGTGTGAATTAAAATCACGTATGCGACCGCATCAAATAATTTCATGTTTGATCATTTCTTCTCACCAAAAATGAAAATTTTAGAACTTATTAATCTTAATCTTCTTTAAATATAATGAAAAGTCTTAACTTTGCATTTTTCAACTTTGTATTTCAAATATCTCTCATTAAGTATTCACGCCGCAATATCTGCAATACACATCACAATAACCACAATTGCATCTGCGACCGATATCGCATCTATGACCGCAACCGCAATTTATAACCATGCTTAGAAACATCCTAAACAAATTTAACTATTTCACCACATCAATCCACTTTTGTAACTGATTATATATCTAGTATTGAATTAAATGTTAATGTATTTTTACAGAGTTGAGAGATATTTTGACCAGTTAGTTTATGAAATGATTTCCAATGATCTTGCCATAAGAGCTACAGTTGAAGAAGCTGAGCTTTTGATTTTTTCTTCTACAATGCTTCCAAGCCAATATAGAAGTGAGTTACATTACATTACACTTATGCTACTTCTCTCATTTAGGTTATGTTTGGATAGTGTAAAATGAACGGAGTTTAATGGAGTGGAATTGAGCGCAATGGAATAAAAGTGTCATTCCATTGCTCGAGTATTTCATGATGGAATAGAGTAATTTTGTGATTCCGCCGAAATCAGATGGTAAAAAAGAAATGATGGAAAATGATAGAATGTGATGAAATGCATTCCATCATATTCGCTTGAAACATAAATTTATTACCATTTCATCAATCCAAATATAGCCTTATGGGATGTTTGGATTGGTGGAATGTGATGAAATGGAATAGAATGAAATGTATTCCATTATGGCCTTCTTCATTCTATCCTTTTTAATTAATCCAAACAATAGAACATGAGTTTCCATTCTATCAATCCATAGTCTTAGGGTATGTTTGGTTTGGTGAAATGTGATGAAATAGAATGAAATGAAGTGGTATATAATCAAATTTCATTGTTTAGATTTGCAAATAATGAATGGAGCGGGATGAAACATGATACATGATGAAACATGCAATAGAATAAATTGGTTTGCTTTGTCTTGTTCCGCCAAATCATAAAACATATACCAACAATGGAATGAAATCTCAGCTCTGTCAAATTATTTAAAAACACAAACAATTGAATGAAATCTCTATTTCATTCCGGCCTGTTCCGCCAAATTGTTTAAAAACACAAACAATTGATTGAAATCTCTATTTCATTCTGGTCTGTTCCACTCCGTTCTATTATGTTTCATTCGGCTCCTCTACGTTTTAGTCCATCAATCCAAACATGAGTTTAAACTTTATTGTTTGTTAACTATGTCTAAATTTTTGAGCTACTCATTTTGCAGGATTTCAATCAAAGTATTACTTGTGGGGAATGTTTAGAAGAAAACAAACATTATCCTAAATACTAGGTGTTTTAATCAGACAGTAGTTTCTACTAGTTTGAGGATTAGTGTTAGTATTTTTGTTTCAATTCATATCCTAATGTGCATCTAACCATAGTTTATGTATGATTCCAAACTGTTGTATTTATCACACTTTTGTTTTAACTTTTGTTAGAAGTTGGTGGTTTTTTTTGGCACTCATATTTTTAAGAATTTTATTGTGATAGTTTTTTTTTGAAGCAACTAAAGTATTTAAGCATATGTCTGGTTCTGCAGCGTCGGTAAGGAAAATTAATTTTGAATGAATTGATTTTATAGAATTGATTCTGGTTAAAAGTGAATCGGATGTAAAGTGATTTATATTTGGTTATATTTATATTTATGTAAAAATGACTAAAAGAATAAATTAATATAAATTACTAGTCACTTAATATTCAAGAATCACTTTCAAAAGGATCTTGAGAAGATGGTTCAGGGTCTATTAGTAGGAAATATTTAGATTTTAAGGCATTATCCAAAAATCACTTTTAAAAGGAGAATTTAATTCAATCTACCAATCATTTATTATTCAAGAATCAATTTCAAAAGGATCTTGAGAAGATAGTTCAGGGTCTATTAGTAGAAAATAACATAGATTTTAAGGCCTAATCCAAAAATCACTTTTAAAAGAAGAATTTAATTCAATCTACCAATCACTTATTATTCATGAATCACTTTCACAAAAATCTTGAGAAGATAGTTCAGGGTCTATTAGTAGAAAATACATAGATTTTAAGGCCTTATCCAAAAATCACTTTTAAAAGGAGAATTTAATTCAATATTACTAATCACTTATTATTCAAGAATCACTTTCAAAAGGATCTTGAGAAGATAGTTCAAGGTCTATTAGTAGAAATACATAGATTTTAAGGCCTTATCCAAAAATCACTTTTAAAAGGAGAATTTAATTCAATATACCAATCACTTATTATTCATGAATCACTTTCACAAAAATCTTGAGAAGATAGTTCAGGGTCTATTAGTAGAAAATACATAGATTTTAAGGCCTTATCCAAAAATCACTTTTAAAAGGAGAATTTAATTCAATATTACTAATCACTTATTATTCAAGAATCACTTTCAAAAGGATCTTGAGAAGATAGTTCAAGGTCTATTAGTAGAAATACATAGATTTTAAGGCCTTATCCAAAAATCAATTTTAAAAGGAGAATTTAATTCAATCTACCAATCACTTATTATTTAAGAATCACTTTCAAAAGGATCTTGAGAATATAGTTCATGGTCTATTAGTAGAAGATACATAGATTTTAAGGTCTTATCTAAAAATCTTCACTTTTAAAAGGAAAATTTAATTCAATCTACCAATCACTTATTATTCAAGAATCACTTTCAAAAGGATTTTGAGAAGATAGTTCAGGGTCTATTAGTAGAAAATAACATAGATTTTAAGGCCTTATCCAAAAATCACTTTTAAAAAGAGAATTTAATTCAATCTACCACTCACTTATTATTCAAGAATCACTTTCAAAAGGATCTTGAAAAGATAGTTGAGGATCTATTAGTAAAAAATACATAGATTTTAAAGCCTTATCCAAAAATCATTTTTAAAATGAGAATTTAATTCAATCTACCAATCACTTATTATTCAAGAATCACTTTCAAAAGGATCTTGAGAAGACAGTTCATTGTCTATTAGTAAAAAATACATAAATTTTAAGGCCTTATCCAAAAATCATTTTTAAAAAGAGAATTTAATTCAATATACCAATTTCTTAATATTCATATCATTTAAATAGAAATGGCTTAAGGAGGCTTATAGTTTGACTGACCTATTTAAAACTGCCTATTTAATAAAAAGGATGAGGTTAAATTTTAAAAAAAAATTTATTTAATTAAATATAATAGATTTAGACTATTAAATTTTTTTATGAAATCTTGTAGACCTCTCTCTCTCTATATATATATATATATATATATATATATATATATATATATATATATATATATATATATATATATATATATATATATATATATATATATATATATATATTGATCGTATCTGATCAGAGTTAGACCGTTACAGCTGGTTTAAACTGGACTTGAAAGAGATGGGGGTACCTGCAAGACACTCTGATGATAAAGTGAGAGACAGAATGAGCAGGTGAGTTGTATGTTGGTGTGAAATGAATGAATACCTGACTCTCTTGAAATAGAGGGTATTTATAGCCCCCAGCGTTGGGCCAAGGTCCCCTTTATTGGGCCGACCAAAATCGACCCTAAAAAGGGACTGCCAGGATTTACGTGAGTAGTGGGGACCTGCACGTGGTCCCCTGCCTGGATGATGCTCTGCGAAGAATAAGGAAGAACGAAGATGCGATCTTCCCAGAGCTCTAAGGACTCTGAAACATCCGGAGGGGCTGAGAGACTGCCCTACGGGGAGGATGCTCGAGCAAGACTCGGATTGGGATGTCCTTGGTCGGGGACGTCTCTCGTCGCGAGTAGCGGCGAGCATGGTCGTATTAGTCCTACAACCCGTGACTGGGGTATACTCGGGGAATCTGGTGCCCAGCATAGCACGTGGCACAGTTTGGATTGGGCCTTACTGGTGATTTGGGCCATGGGCAGGCCTAGTCCAGAACAGAAGCCCCCTAAGTCATTGCTCCTGGTACATGAGTTATGACTTGATCCCAGTTTTCTCTTTCGCGGGGACCTCGTGCCCGATACCAAGATTTTCCATGTCGAGGAGTGCTCGCGGGGATGCGTCAGTTGCGTCTGTTGGACACGTGGTGTAGTCCTTGGAAATCACAATGCCGTCCTAGTGAATAAGGCCATCATTGTCTAGGCAAGTAGGCGTCGAGGACGTGGGCGGTTCGTGGTTCCCCGGCGCGACGTTTCATATTCCACGTCATCTCTATAAATAGGATTCCAGGGCCCATGGTTCGTTTCACCTCTTCACGCTTCTCATATTTTCTCTGTTTTTACTGTCGTGAGTTTCCATAACGCCGTTGAGACCGCCGCGTTGTTCACCGTCCGATTACTTCCACCACCGTCGTTCTTCGTATCTTCTTCCAAGTAAGTGTCATTTCCCTTTGATTTCTCGCGTTGTAGATAGTTTTGACGACGTTTTGCTAGTAGAAACTTGTGTCTGGGTATTATGCCCGATAGATTTAAGCGCGCTAGGCGCCTGATTCATGGTTATGCCCGGGATATTCATAAGTTTAGGCATATGGTTCATGATCTTGCCTGTGATACTCATGCGTTTGGCTAGTAGATTCATGAACTTGGCCGAGATATTCATCCTTTCGTTAGTATGTAGGCTAGTTTCCCCGTAATGTTCTTGTACCGGGTAAGCAAAATTATGAACTTAGTCGTGGGATTCATGCTTTGCCCGGGGTACTGATGTTATGCTCGTGTCGTTCATGATTGATGTGCGACTGGAGTCGGGGTGTCGGTGTTTGGTTGAGATCCGTTTGTTTCCCGTTTCTCGCGCGAATGGCTGTAGACTCGATCTGAGTGTCGCTTACATCTCCCCGTCTTTGTGGAGGGCAAGCGGATTTATTTTCGAATTCACCGGTTTCCTATACTTTGCAGGTAAATGGCTGACATTCCCGAGTCCTCGGGGCGTAATAACATCGAGGAGATGAGCACAGCGGAAGAGACTATTACCTTGGTCGACACCGTCAACGACCCCACACTGGATTTGGTGGGTGCTGAGCCCCGGGGAATAGCTTCGGTGTATAGCCATCATAGTAGACAAGCTTATATCGTCGTCGAGTATGGAGGTAGTCAAGAAGGGTTTCAAAGGAACTTCAAGATAATGAGGCCAGCGAGGGATGCTCGCATCTGTTCGAAGTTCATCCAAGATGCGTTACCTACGTATGAGATCATGTTCAGAGATCTTGGTCTTCTGTTGCCCTTTAGCGACTTCCAGGTCGGGGTATTCAACCATCTGAACCTGGCCCCCTCCCAACTCTACCCCAACGCGATTGCCTTTCTCCGAGCATTCGAGCTCACTTGTCGTTTCCTGAGAATTAGGGCGACGGTTCCCCTGTTCTTCAGGGTTTTCCACTTACAACGGCAGTCCCGAGGAGGGAAACACAGTTGGGTGTCCTTTAAGCAGTCAAAGAGACTGTTTAGGATGTACATGGACTCCGTGCGGGATTTTAAAGACAAATGATATATATTGCAGCCGTCCACCCAGACGGCCTTAGATTCGTTGTTCAAACCGGCCACTGTGGTCGACGAGGATGGGGAGCCCTGTTTGGACACCGAGGGTAATCCCAAGGTCGGGCGGATCTCTAGATTCCCCATTCATTGGTGCTCGGGTTATTACGACCATGGTCCTGGGCACTACCATACTCCTGCTGAGGGTATGAGTGCCGAGGACGAGGAAGCTTATGGTGTCCTGAACAAGTTTGTTGATGGCTTCTTTCCTGCTCGGTGGGTCACTAGGGAAGAGGATGACATTCTTGACGAGGATGGCTATCCGACGTTCGAGGAGCGCCCGATTAACACCAAGGCGCTCGTCGAGTGCCAATCTTATGGGCATGCCGTAGATCTTTTAGATTTCTTTCTTTGCTCTTATTGTTGTGCCTTTTTAATTGCCTTTAACGTATATAGCTAACCTTGGTTCGCTTCCCTTGTAGGTCACATGGCGGAGCGTCGTGAAAGATTGCTGAAGTTGAACCAGGACAAGAAGATAAATAAGAGACTGATGAGACCGCAACAGGCCACGCGGATGGGCCCGCCTACTGATTCGGGCAGAGAAGGATCCAGTGGGTCCTCGGGTTCTCCCGATGCCGAGCTCCAATCTGAGTTGGTCAGCAGGAAGCAGAGTCGGCCAGAGGATGAAGTGGAAGAGACTGATGGGCCTGTTGCTTCCCGGGCTTTTGGCTTACCATCTTGCTTTGTGGAGAATGACTTCTTTGAGGGGTTTCCCCTAACCGTGTCCGACAATGAGGCCGACATCATCAGGTGGCTTGACAAGGAAGGTCGGAGGAAACACCTTGCTGCTAGC